GACAACAAAAGATGGGCTGTCTGGGCACAGGTGTCCTGCAGGTCTTTATTATTCTGCTGAAACTTCTCCTAATGAGGTTTTCCTTGCTAACTGAATCACTGTCACTGACATTCAAAGTCAACTCTAGACTTTTCCTGACTGGCGAATATGTGAAGTTACTTGACAGTACAATTATCATTGAAGTTACAAATAAATCCAAACTCAATATAACACACAAAATGCTCTGTTTATCCTGCCACAGTACCCACTGAAATTATGCCAATTTAACTCAAGAGACTCCACATAATTACTGGTCAAAATGTAAGACTTAAGTACGTATGACACTTCAGTGTCTACCACTAACCAGCTGAGTTAGAGTTGAAAGGTCTCCTTCTCGTGCTGCTTCTAAAAGTTTCTCCTCTAGTTTCCTCTCCTCTGTTCTTTCAGCCGCTATCAGTAAAAGGACAGTGTTTGCAAAAAAAAAAAGAAGCAGGATCAGTTTAGAATTTACATATTATATCAACGTACTGTATGAATGGATATTATAACATTAAACACGGATATTGATAGAAACATCTTTTCATGAAATCTCTTAAATGACAATGTCTCTCTCACCTTCCAACATGCTTCTGATCTCTGCATTTTGAGTGACATCTTTGGGAATCTGTGCTGTCCCATTGATGACAGTAGCACATGCATCATAGTGCAGCAGCAGCATGACAACCTCCTGATCAATGTGTGATTGATTGATTGATTGACTGATTGAATGGATGATCAAATGTTGAAACTCATAGTATGCAAAGAGTAGAAACAAATTAAAGAGGTGGTATTATGGCCCTTTTTGACCCATCTTCATACATATTGAGCATATTTTAAACACAACTGTGACATTTTATTCACCCAAAGTTGTTTACATTTCTCTAAATCCATCATTATACAGAGCCCAGATTCCCCACTGTCCTCTAGCAGGGTGTGATGTTACAAAGGACACAGTTTCAAAATTTCTCTGTGCAGGAGATTCAAAATTTTGAATTATGGAAAAACACAGCGGAGACAGAGTTTAGTAATTTCACAGCAGAGGAGGACCTCCGCCATCAGCCTGATCCATCTCGAAACTCATATATTTTTCCCCCATCATACCACCTCTTTAAAATCTGAATAGAAAATTGACGAGACAGGTACCTTTCTTCCTGTGAAGGCGGCTTTGTGCAGCGGAGTATCTCCAATATTATTGGGCAAGTTAACATCTGCCCCCGCCTGCAGGGTGTAACAACACACACACACACAGACATATTACCCATCCAGTTATTTAAAACAGCAGTGGGATAGAAGTTAAAATCTCAATGCTTTCAACAAATGAAACACTACCTTAAGCAGTTCCTCCACTACATCTTTGTGCCCAAAGTAACAAGCCAAATGAAGAGGCGTCCATCCCAGGTTAGACTTACTCATACCTGAGAAAACAGTACATACTGCATTACATCAACACACTCTGATTGATAGAATTCCCATGTGATAATCCTGTACCTTTGCAGTTAATGTTGATCTTCATTTCATCCCTGATCTTGGACATGAGGAGCTTCTGAATGCCAGGCAGATCTCCATTCCGGGCGTAGCGCAGGAACTGCTCCTCTGGATCCAGTTCCTCCATGGACCCCTGCAGAGAAAATGCAGGAGAGAAACAGGAAAGCCACAAAATTATGCTTTTCATTTCTGTGACTCAGCTGTGATTAAAAAGATGCTTTCAGAAGGACACGTGCACCAAGTCTCTGAAAAGAAACCCGGATACTATAGGAGGTTCATGCTTACTGCTAATCAGTTAGAGTTCAGTGGCAAAAAATAATGAGCTTTTAGGTTTATCACTGGTAGCACAGTTGTTTGTCTCCAGTATTTAAGTACTTTGTTAGAATATATTTCATATATATCAAAACACTTATACAACAGCATTTCCATAAGGCTGAGGGACTCACCGAACCCTCCCTGCCTGGTGAGCACCCACATCTTTCAAACTCCAGACCTCCCCTCTGCTTTAAAATACACAGTTCCCAAACTCAAAGTAGAAGTGACATCATCAGGGTTATTTTCTTACACATTATAAAACAGCTTTCACAGTTTTAATAGTCTGTGGCACAGGGAAACCAAATAAGTGGACTTCACCTCTGAAGTGACTGTGGAAACCTTCCTTATGCTCATTCTGTGCATGTTGTCATTGTATATTTGCCTAACAAGTCATCACCCGCTCTGACGGACACATGAGAGAAAAAGTCACAAGTGGTTTTGTCAGGTGATGAGGAAAAAGCAACAGTCAAACGGCAGAAGAGGGAAATCAGACTTATGACATAAAGTGACAGTCACCAGATCCTCCTTACAGGAAGGAAACAAGTTTGAACTGTAGCCATTGTGCAGTGTGAGTCACTGAAAGGAAAAGCCCAGTGGCACTGAAACAGGTTTACCTGGGAGTGAAAAGCATGTGACACCAACGGCTACTCAGCCCTTATTTCTATGGTTTGTTTCAATGTTCAGAAACACCTTTAAAAAAATCCATCTATAAACTGCAAGTATATAATCAGAAGAATGGAGGCAGAGATTTCTTTGATGTGACTAATGTATTTCTCTGGTTTGCTTTTAATCGGAGAGTTTTATTTTTACATGCAAAAACTAAGTACCACATTTAATAAAGCATTTCTTTAAAAAATATATTTATTCATGTTATGTGATTATGTAAAGAAAATAACCATCCTTGATGCATTATTAAAATGCTCAAGTATGGATATCATTATTGGCAAAATGGCTAAAACAACAATTTGACTAACAAAAATAATTGCGACTGTTCATATAACTGAGCGAATAACAGACAGTTTCTACAGAAAACAACAGAAAGCTTACAGGCAATCTAAAACCAATTAACACAAGTTTGTGCACAGCTGTCACTTTCCTTCGTTTCCTCTCCCGTTAATAATCTCACAGTACCTCACAATTATCATGTGACCAATTGGAGGGAGCGTGACCAGAGGTTGGTAACCACTGGACTGAAGTACCAGTAGCTCAGCCACAGAATCAACAGTAAAATCCTCCTCACACACTAGTGGATCTGAACAACAGTGTGAACTAGAACCAGGACTTTTACTTTTCATACTGATAATAGTTTCCTTCCTACATGGCTTGTAAAGGAGTAGGCTACTACTTAATATATTGATGCTTCTTCTTAACTAAAGGATGTGAACATTTCTTTCACCACTATTTTGTAACTTCATATTTACAATATTTACAAACTTCATATTTATAACTTCTCCATTTAGAATGAAGAACGAATATGTCCCCGACTAGTCTACAATTTATAGTCCAGCCCAGGTGCCTTGAGACCGGCTGCTGACACTTACTGTTTCGACCAGTCCAGTCCTGTGAAGTGAAGTCTTGCTCTCACACAGGGCCCCTCCGAAGCTGCATGTGATGCCTTAAGCTGCTCGGGGCCGTTTCCCGCTGCTAGTGCAGCACAAACCGCGCACCGCACATCATCCGACCTGTCACGCTGTCGCTCACACTCCACACATTTCCCATTTAACGTCTTCAAACAACGCCGAACTCACCAATGGCTACGTTTGTGTCCCCCGCACACATTCACACGCTTATGTTTTGTGTTTTCACGGACATCAGCTGATCAGAAAGAAAACGGAAGTCGTACATACCTTTCAAAATAAAAACAAAGCTCGTTATTTTAAACAAGACTGGTCTTTAAAGGTAGAATAACATTCCCACTAGCATTCAAGTCGTGCGTGGTCTTGCAGGCTATCTGCGCTTTCCATAAATCATTGACAAACAAGTGCTTTGTTAAATGTGCTGCAAAATGTCTCCAAATGCTTTCTTATATTGAGTGAAGGCAAAACCCGGAAGTGGTTAAAACACGCACCTACATGTGCTTCACCCTGGAAGCAGTTTATAGCTACGTCCACGCTGGCTGGATCTGAAGTTCACATGCCTTGTGTTTATGCGTGTTATGTTTTTGTTTTTTGACAGAGATTGATATATTTCGGATACCTGATGATTAAAGGCTGTGAAATTAATAAATGGCCGGTATTATAAACGCGGAGAATGAAGGAGATCTTCAGGCTCAAGTAAGATGCTTTGACAACCTATTTGATAAAGTTAAGAAAACCTGGCAACTTATGTTCTCTGTCTGTTTTGTTGTAGTATATTGTAGTGGCCTGCAGAGACTATATCAGAAGTCCAACAGTAGAGTTTAATATTCCTTTAAATATCACTGACAAAAAACTCGCACAAGATGTTAAATCTTAAATAAACTGCACATGAAAACATCTTCTGTATCTGCCCGATTATCATAATGGTGGTGTAATTAAAATTAACAGCCATAAGCAACTGTTCTCACACACCCACACACCCACACCCACAACAGATTGCTCCCACGTTGTTTGCATTCATTATCACACGTACATGTGAGGTCACACATCAACACTCTGCAGAGACAACATGAGAAAAAGACAAAAGATGGACACAAGCGGACATTATTATATGTGTGTGCTAAAACAGAGCTTATTTAATTTTACCCAGTGCCTTTGTGTTAGTTTAGCCCCGGCTTACTGCCATTTTGTCTGTGTTACAGTAGTATGGATTTCATTTTTTGAGAAATAAATACCTGGAGGTCTTTGAATCACCCAGAAAGTTGTTTGACAGAACTCAACTGCTGTTCTGAAATTGTCTTCACTTGTCTAAGACTGTTCTGTGTAGATGAAAATGATCCAATATCCAATCCATTGTATAATTAAAAACCCATGTTTCAAGTTTTGGTGATATTTGACTATCTAATGTCTTATATCCTTGCATATTTTGTATAATGTAAAAATAACTAAACATGCTATTTTGTGTGATATGTCAACACATATGACAAACATAACTGATAATAAAAATTATCGTTTTGTTTCACATTATATAAATTGAGCACAGATACAGTATGTCACTTCCAAAAAGCCTTTGTTTGGGAAACAGTCTTCTTCATCATGGAGCAGAGGGAAAATGTTTCTGTCCAGATGATTAGAAGAGTACTTAAAGATTCTTGTTACTTCAGACCAGAAAGTATTAGGAGATACTCTAACTTTCTCACTCATTAACATGTTTAAAAGTCAGTAAACCAACAGAGACTCCATGAAGTTACTGGTCCCTGCCAAGCAATGGCCTGGCACATGACTCCTGTAAAATTGCAAATTGATGTTTTCACACATTATTTGTACGGTTTTAAACAAATGAGATTAAAAAAGTGTTAATTATTGATTTCAGAGGTGCTGGTAGGAGGATTTTGTTACCTTCTGGACAGAGCCAGGTTAGCTTTCCCCCATTTTCAGTCTTTATGCTCTGCAGGCTCCACCTATATATACTGTATGTACATCTATGTACCAGGTAGATTCAAGAGTGGTATAAATGTTCTTTTTTTAGTTATAAAGAGTATATTCCCAAAAATGTTGTTGCTTTAAATGAATTGCTGTGTTTTCAAAGATTGTCAGGCACTTAATTTTTTGAAAATAGATGCTTATCTCTGACGCAAGTGTCATAGCAACACATAAGAGGCATAAAGTGGGATTTGTTGTATTTTGTTATTATGTGCTTGTAATATGCATGTCCAGGTTTTTAAAAAATATATATTGGGTTAGTGTGATGAAACTTTCATTTATGGTCCAAATGTTGAAAAGCCTTTCTGGATTGATTCTTACTTAATGTGTACAGACTCATAAGGATGATGTTTGGCTCTGTTATTGTCTCCTGTCATGTAGATCGAAGAGGTTGAGGCTCTGGCTTCCATATATGGTGATGAATGGTGTGTTATAGATGAGGCATCCAGAATATTTTGCATCAAAATATCCAGTGACTTAGAGGAGCCAAAACGTACAGCATGTCTGCAGGTAGGGAAAAAAATCTTAATCATTAATCATGTGTTAGTGCAATTTGTTTGTGATCCATTTTATGATGTTTTCTTACTGATCAGATTATTCTTCCACCTGGTTATCCAAGCACAGCCCCACCCATCTACCAGATCAAGTAAGTCTTTGAAATTTTAATCTTCAGGCAATGTGCTGAATCTATAGAACAACATCCTACTCAAAAATCCACTCCTCATCCTGCTCAATAACCCTCAGTTTGTTCTTGGCTTCTGCAGTGCAGCGTGGCTACGAGGCCCTGAGAGGGCCAAACTGGCAAACAGCCTCGAAGACCTTTATGTGTGAGTGCTTCTCATAATTTCTGACTTCCCCAGGAGGTACTGTGGGGTGATGTTAGCCACAACAAAGGCTAATATAGGATTGTTTCCACAGTCTTCCAGTCTTTCTGCAGTCTGTACCTTTTAGAATACTGACCCTCATACAGAAATGTGTACCTTTCAACAGGGAGCATGCTGGGGAGAGCATCCTCTACCTGTGGGTGGAAAAAGTTCGAGAATTCCTGGTAGAGAAATCTCAGAGCTCAGAAACGGGTGAGGTGTGAAAAATGAGATTCATGCTTGAGAGCCACATTTAAATAGACAGTTCATAATGCTTTGGAATGACACTTGATAGACTTCAGTCCAGAAGAGCTTAATTTTTTTGCACTCATTAGTTTCAACTGATTGTTAGTGGTGTTTGATTTCACATAGGATTGAACAAAGGTAGGCTTCTCAATTTTACCCAAGGATCACAATTTTTTGGGGCTGAAATTATGATTACCTATAACAGATTTTATCAGTTGTAGCTAGCCAGTGTAAGCTAATGCTCTGTGAGTTGGTTGAAAATGTCTCTAATTGGCTTTTTAATGTTTCCAGCTGATGTGCTGAAAAGAATGCACATGATGGCTACACTGCTATCTTACTAAAATGTCCGAGGCAAAAAGTCAGTTACTGTGGGTTCCTAGTTTACCAGGAACGCTAGCGCTTGCAACTTACAGTGGAGTGAAAAAGTATTTGTCACCTTCCTGGGTTCTTATGTTTTTGCATATTTGTCACACTTAAATGTTTCAGATCATCAAACAAACTTAAATGTTAGACAAAAATAACCCAAGTAAACACAAAATGTGGTTTTTAAGTGATGATTTTATTTATTAAGGGAAAAAGCTATCCAAACCTACATGATCCAATGTGAAAAAGTAATTGTCCCCTCTTGTTAAATCATGAATTTACTGTGGTTAATCACATTTTTTTTGGAAAGCTGAGTTCAGTTTCACCAGCCACACCCAGGCCTGATTAATGCCAGCCTGTTGAATCAAAAAAATCACTTAAATAGAACCTGTCTGACAAAGTGAAGTAGGCCAAAAGATCCCATAAAGCAAGACATCATGCCGTGATCCAAAGAAATTCATGAACACATGAGAAACAAAGAAATTGACATCTATCAGTCAGGAAAGGGTTACAAAGCCATTTCTAAAAGCTTTGGGACTCCAGCAAACCACGGTGAGAGCCATTATTCATACATGAAGACAATATGGAACAGTGGTGAACCTTCCCAGAAGTGGCCGCCCTACCAAATTACCCGAAGAGCGCAGTGATGACTCATCCAAGGTGGTGGTGGTGGTGGTGGGGGGGCTCTTCCTGAAGTCCACTGTCATCTCCATCTCTAATTGGCTTTTTAATGTTTCCAGCTGATGTGCTGAAAAGAATGCACATGATGGCTACACTGCTACAGTGCCTTGCGAAAGTATTCGGCCCACCTTGAACTTTGCGACCTTTTGCCACATTTCAGGCTTCAAACATAAAGATATAAAACTGTAATTTTTTGTGAAGAATCAACA